GTTACCAGCTCCATGTTAAGCTTTTGCAACATCACCGCATGTTTCAGCATAGCAAAACGATACGGTTTGGCAGCTGCGCCATGACATCTGAGGACATTCAACACCCTAGCTCTGGGGAGCATATGCGTCCATCACTGGGACACCGATTTATAATTAATCGTGATGATGCTCGGCTACTTTTTCCAAAACGCGAAGATATCAAACCCGCTCGTTGTTTTACATCGTTGCGGATATTACGTAGTAAGCACGCTTAAACTATATTGCGACCAGCAGAATGCGTAGCGAACTTGTTTTTTTTTTAGAAAACAAAGCATCCCTGAATTTCTGGTGCGGGACCCCGTTCATTTCGGCGAATTTTATGTTGACATTTGTTATTAGCACAAATATCTGCTTACGTTCCATTTGAGTTCTCAGCTAACAGACGGTGGCTGAAACACAGGCGTCCGATGGAATCTGGATAGGAGGAAGAAGCGGTGAGCGATCACCCCTGTCAAGGATCCAAACAATGTAAGCATTGAGCTCCTTTTCACGCGACATCGGATAGAGATGCAGCAATCAGAACGGTGACATGATCTCAATCATTTTCAGCGCCGTAAGATCATTTTTATGTTGAGTCCGATGAGATCCACCGACCGAACAAATGCACATCGCGCAGAAACATTATTTACCAATTGTGTTATTTTATGGAGGCTTATTAATTAAACTTTATAAGTGGTGAGGTCATTTATTTGATGGATTCGTTTCTACAAACATATGTTAAATTTCGACAAAAATGACTACCGCCGATGGCAAACGAATATAGCACAGATTTTCATCTCTGGCTGGCATTTGAATCCTTGAAAAACGTGCAACAGCCACATTTCAGAGCACTCAAACAATACATTGTCAAACAATTTATAAAAAACAACTCTAGATGCATGACCGATTATTAATATTAAGCTTTCACGAATAGTTTGAGAGATTTTAGCCTCCCGGACCCGTTTCTACACCTGTGGCGCGAAAACTACGGGCTTTCATGCATTTTGCCAACCCATCCTGGCTGTCTACAGCCACGCACACGATAAACACGAATGCCCACCATATGCTGTCTCAAATGGGTCAGTCCAGCTGTCACGTAAGGGCCGCACCAACACCTTCAAAATAGCTCTCAAATCGCACTAAAACCAAGTCAGAGCATGCGCTGGTTACTATAGAGGTGTGGCAGGGTCAGCAGGACACGGAACAACCAGGCTACTCCAGCTAGCTAAAACGAGCACGTGCTGAAAGAGGTCAGTTAGGACATCGACATCGCCGGATTGACATACAAGTGCGGCGTACGCAGTGAGCCTTCTAGATGTGTCATCTCATGCGGTGCACTAATAGCACGACAGGACTCCCAGAGCGACGCGACAGAGGCTGCGTAGTCGGGTCAGGCACTATCAGCACAACAGGACTCCCCGAGCGATGCAACAGACGTTGCGCAATCGGGACAGGCACTAACAGTACGACAGGACTACCCGAGCGACGCGACAGAGGCTGCGCAGTCGAGACAGGCACTAACAGTACGACAGGACTACACGAGCGACGCGACAGAGGCTGCGCAGTCGAGACAGGCACTAACAGCACGACAGGACTCCCACAGGGGTGCGACAAAAGCTGCACAGTCGGGCCAGGCGTTCTGCGATGGCCCGACACAGAGCTCATGCTGGGGCACCTCGACATGTCGGTTAGAGCCGTGTCGTTCGGGATTCAACATTCTGAACGCATTTTTCAGGCACTTGTCCACGGGGAGCGCGTTCAATGATCAATAGAAGTATTAATCTCGAGGTAACCAGCGTCACAAAAATGTAACATACCATCCCATTATGTTTTCGCTGTCCAATGCCACGATGCGACGGAACAACAAGTGTTCTGCCCAATACGTCAGGATGCTGGCGAGTTTTTCGAAGTTGGGGTTCTTGTGGCGGTAATCTCAGCTTGGTCAAAAGTCTCAGTTCCTTTGATCCGTGTCGTTATTGTAGCAAACGTCACGGCAATTTCGTGCACGGTACATTTTGGTGCATGACGGCTCATGTGCTTTTATTTGGGTTCGACTAAGCGCATCCTGCTGATATGGTGTAATGCTTCACAGTGTCCATACTAACAACAAAACGGAGTAAAATGGGAAGAAAAGTGGCATCCACTAGCTGTAACGATGCGCTGTAACGAGCTGAAATAATAACAGTGCACTGCAAGGGGTGTGCTCTTTTCTCCGATCTTTGACGAGATCGCAGGATCGCGTCTGTCGGACACGGACGACCGACCGCACCGAGCCTGCCCACTGTACAGGAGGGACACGACCGGGTACCGCGGGCATGGCTCTCGACCGACACAGGGAGTGTGCCGGTCACGCCTCGGTCCGACTCAGCACGCGCGCCGGAACGGCGCTGGTGACGCGCACAGGACACGGCCGTGGCAGGCGGTCAGTGGGCCACCCACCGCACGTCCGTGATCGTTCAGCCCCACCCCCCCCCCCCCCTCCCCCTCCCGTCCCCTCCCTCGGGCGGCAGCCGATCACGTTCGTGGCGTACTCTGCGTCGGGCTGGCACTGCGAGGCTGGCGGCCAGACGGTGGGGGATAGCGCCATTCGATATATCGAGCGGACGCCTCGGGTCCGCGTCATCCCAAGGGCGCCTGCATTGCAGCTGTCCGCGCCACGCGGCAGCGGTTGTCGGTTCCGAAGCTCAGCGTAGGCCTTCGCCATTGAGCACCGCGAATCACACAACCACACAACCAGAATGTAAATAATCTGTCAGACGATGACGAGACGCACGACAGCAAAAAGCGCGTCCTCCGATTTCAACATGTTCTTATGACGGCATGCCCACACGAAGGGATACCACAAAATGTAATGTCCCGCAATATGGTTGACAGGATGGCCCACCTCGGCATGCGGGACTCCCATCCATGACCGGCATCCACTGGTAATTATCCGTTCAAGTCCGTTCTAATCCCACACGAGATCATGCTCACTAGTTCCGAGAGATCCCTTTACATAAGTTTATAACCGCATGATGCTCTTTGCACTTAGTTTCCACTTAACAATGAACACTCCATACGAAACACCTCCCTTATTTATATATTTCGCTGCTTGGGATCACGGCCACTGGCATTCAATGCTCAAAATTACGCTTACAACAAAGCTAACTGTGCTCAATTTGTAACATTAAACCGACATACCATACCAAGCTCATTCGGGGGTCCCACGAACCACCAGAGGTTGGCCGTTCTATGACTCATGAAGGTTTTTGCAGTTGGCAAGAATCGAAGGACCGTCGACGTTTCTATTACTGGATTACTCTAGCCTCTAGCCAACGCTAAGCGAGGGTCCTTCTGGACCACCCGTGACCGTCTCGGTCTCTCTCCCCGATGATCATGAACGGCCCTAACTGGCTGGGAACATCGACCTTTCGACCTTCTCGTGCTAAGAGCTCATCTCATCACCGCATCTCATCAGCCCTGCGAGTCTTTTCGGCACCGCAGACCGTCTCACCCCCTACCACCGATCATCTCCGAAGATGGTTTCTCGTTGCAAGCCTACTGATATCCACATCGGGACTTGTTCGTGTTCGTGTTCCCACCCCGTGTTCGTGACCTCTCGGTCATCTTGTAATCTATGATTCATTCGGACTTCACGGTCCGAATGGATCTGGTTTCCTTCACACCACATCGGGCGTTTCTGGATCTCGACTTCCTCCAGTCACTAGTATCAACTTAGAGCTTTACACAGCATGCTCCGAGCCTTCTGGCTGCTTTGCTGTTTGTTGATTGCTTCAGGAACCACCTGAGCATTTCTGTCACTGATTGCATCAGATGACCATTGATCTTGGCACCATGGCCAAAATTAATCTGTCATCTGCAATGCTCTGTAACATCCCCCAGTTTACAGTGGATCAAGAATTTCTGCCCACTGATCATGTGTGACTGTCCATGCCTGTGTAGTTTGCATGGCCCTGTTTTGTTGCTGTTTGGGCCACACCACATTGCAATCAGGACCAGTTTCCAGACAGATGACACCAGCCACTTCCCAATTCATGCAACTGTTATGTTGGGCAGCACTGAGATCCACCAGTGATTTGTATGTGGTGCACTCACCTACACAGTGTCATGTTTTGTGTCTTACATCTGCACCTGTCCTGGTTGAGATCTGACATCAACCATTGAAAACACAGAAACAACAAAATGGTGGATCTATGGATTGCACACACACATACACCAGCTGCACACCTGTGCACTTTTGCCAGCAACAGCCCCCCCCCCCCCCCCATTTCCCCATCCACCAAATGGTGTTTGCCTTGTGCTGCTCTGGTATCCAAGTCATATCTGTGTCCAGTTCAGACCATGTTGCACAGCCTGGTCAGAACCAACACATAGTACAATTTCAATCTAAATCAACTAATCAAGACTTTATTAATCTGCATTGCAGTGGCGCAATGAGATCACGTGTGGTACAAATGTTTGAATGCAAATAACTCTTAACTTATACATCACAACTTTAAAAGAACCACACTTCCTGGTACTTAAGACCTCACAAATCTGTGATCAGTGGTAGGTGTAACTTGTGATGAGAAGCCATATTTGAGCATTTTCTCAATGTTTGGGCATTAACTAATGCAACCTATGATCTTGCTCATGATGATCAACACATCAATGCCAAACCCACATGATGCAACTCATAACATAGACTAAATACTGTTTGTGTTGCTCTTCCTATGGCACTACTGACACTTAAAAGCTCACATCAATACAGGACTCACATTATGCAATCCATAACACAACCAGAATAAGTAAACTGAAAACAGCTGGCTTCTACCTCTAGACAACAAATGGCATGACATGTCTTCAAAACTTGGCACAGCTTCTTCACAAGTATATGCATGGTCACAACACAATCAGGACAACCCTGACATAGTGTCTAAGTAAACCTTATAACACTGTGCAAACTGAACATATTAATCTGCTATCTTATCTCAAGTACTTACCTATGAGCAGACATGCAACATCAAAAGTGATGCGCCATGCCCATTCCTTATTGCTCTTTGGCATGTCTTCTGCTGTGGCTAGTCTTGATGGACTGTCTTGGACTCTTGGTTCAAGAGCACCTGGTTACTGAAGCTGAAAATACATACAAGCAAATTTTCAATTCAAACTGCTAAAAAAACATGCCATTGCACAGTCTGGTGAAACCATGGTCTAAGTGCTATTTGTATTTCAAGGTTTGATTGACCTCATTGACCTTGCATATTTAAAACTATAACTTACTAATGTTAAAAGCCCCTGCAGTTCTAGGCACTTATTCCTATCTTGCAACTGAACTCTTTGATAGGATGCAATGCAGGCACCAAAATAAACTGGGCCTTAGTCAACTGCCATATAAATTGGCCAGCATAAGCAATTATGATGCCATATTCATGAGGAAATAAAGCATGAATTTAAACAAACTCTCTGGTGAAAGGGTTTCAATAGCAGAGAACATATCCCAATTTATTCCTATTTAGTCACATCCCATAGCAGATGTAAATGTCTAACATGCCTGAACTGAATGTCAACATGAGATGAACTACAACAGGGTTGACCCTGTTGTGGTTGTAGTTCACCACGGAGTTCACATCATGACCCTTTAACCCGATAGGTGTCAAGACAGGTTTTACTTCCCTTTCAGATGGGCGCGGGCGGCAAACACATTGCACCGATTCAATACACAGAGTCTAGAGGCAACCACGAATAATGCCCACGTTCCTTTACCTGGTCACCAGATGATGCTGAAAACTCCTGCTGCGACCACTCACTCAACGCAAGCAAATAAATGGACCGAGGCCAACAATCCCTGGCACATGAAGCGGGAATCGGGACCCCGCCGAACCCAGCCCACAATCCAGCAGCCCCCAGCCAAAAATGCACGGACTCGCAGCGCTCAATCGCGTCCATCTCAGGCTTCAACTGTGCCTGGTGCGCCACGATACGTAACTCAGATAGGATATCAGCCGATGATAGAATATGACGTCATAAGAGGTTCAATTCCCAGGCCTGTTCCCATTCTCTATTCTGTCCACCTTCAACTCATCCCTCATATATCGCACTTCGTAGTGCAGGCAGGGGGAAGGGGCACAGGGGACACGTGCCCCTTAGGCTCAGAGGGACCCAAAGGGTCGCTCGGGACCTACGATTTGGGGCCCGATTTGAGGGCTCGAAAGGCCGGCCAGAGGTCGTATTCGAGGGTCCGGCCCGTCGGAGCGGGTAATCCAACGCCAGCCAGAGGGCCCTATGCACTGATCAGGGGCCCCTGAGTCGACAAGTGCCTTTATTTCGGCCAGACGCCACCAATAACGCACAGTCGGCTCCTCAGCGGCATGGCCCCGAGGGCCCACTTCTCAAGCAAGGACAAAGCCGGAGCCAGCGGTTTACGCTAGTCGGGGCAACACAACGCCTAACATGGGCCCTGTCTGGGTAAAGGGTACCAAGTTGGCCAGAGGCAGTGTTTGAGGAGACCCGAAGAGATTGGAGGGCTCACCATGTCCGACGATCAAGGGCTCGATTGGAGGGTCTACGAGCACGAAGGGCTGGTCGGATTCTTATTCAGGGGCCTGGTCCGCGGGGAATGAAGCTCAAAAAACAGTCAGAGAGCCCTTTGCGCCAATCAGAGCCCACCGAGTCGATACGGATGTATATGACGGTCAAGCACCACCAGTGCCGCACAGTCCGCTCCGCATGGACATGGGCCTAAGGGCCCACTTCCAAATCAGCGACACAGCAGGGGCCAGCGTTTTACGCTGTTCAGGCCCCTGTATCTTTCAGGGGCCCACAGCGCCTTACAGACGGCTGTGCTCGCAAGAGGTCCCGAGCCTACCAACGGCAGTTTTCAGTGAGGCCCGAAGAGTGGCCCGTGCGGCCCAACGGTACCGATTATCAGAGGACCCGTTGGAACGCAGATTGAAGGACCGGCTGTAGGTCACATGTAGAATCACGGCCCGTAGGTTCGTGACCTAAAGTATCATTGAGAAGCCCTTCTTTATCATTTGAGGACCACTGAGACAACGCGGGTATTCAAGTCGGTCAAAGCCCACAAACACTGAACAGTTGGCTCCCTGCCAGTCTGACCCCTGGAGGCTCATTTGCCAAGCAAGGGCAAGGCGGAGGCCGGGGGTTACGATTTGCATTGGTCCGGGTATTTGAAACAGTGGTTGACATCCCTGTGTCGGTCAGAGGCCTACAGTGCATGACAGAGGGTCATATCTCGGCTAGTGACCCCCAGTAGGTCGCGGGCTTTTTTGAGGAGGTACGAAGAGAGGTCTAAGAACCTCTCGGGACTTCAGATCAATGGCCCGATTAGACTCGGGTCCGGCCTCCCACGCGTAGTACTGTGACCTGAAATGTCAGTCTGAGTGCTTCTATTACGGCCCTCTTATTAGGGGTATATCCATTTCATACAGGGCCTCGACAGTGAGCCAGACAGTCGGCTCCATGTCCGTCTGAGCCTTTGAGACCCATTTACCGAGAAGAATAGAGGCTGGGGCCCGCGATTTGCAATTTTTTGGGGTCCCTAACACAATGAGGGGCCTCCATATCGGTCAGGGGCCCCAGTGCCTAACAGGGGTCTTGTGGCGGTGAATGGTCCGAGTCGGCCAGGAGCGGTGTTTGAGGGGGTCCGAAGAGGTGCTCAAGGGTCTCTTGACACTAAAGATCAAAGGCCAGATTGGAAGCCTGCAGGTTACCTTTAGGAATCCCCCTCGTATGTCAGGATCTCATGATCTCAAATGTCAGTTGGAGCGTTTCTCGCACCGATGGGGAACCCCTGAGACAGCGCGCTCCTCTGTTTTGGCCAGAGATCACCAACATGGAACAGTTGGCTCGCTGTCGGTCTGGGCTCTGGGGCCCCATTTCTCAAGCAGGGTCGCGGCCGGGCCCGCGGTTGACATTGGTCGGGCCCCTCCAACAATGCGGGGTCCCTGAATCGTTCAGGGGTCCACAGTGCCTAACAGTATTCGTTGTCAACAAGGGGCCTCGAGTCAGTCAGGGGAAATTTGTTCATGAGGGATGTGGACGGGACCCCGAGTGACAGAGGGCCTCTCGCGTTGGTCGGGGCTCTGACTATGAAAGGAAACTTGACAGCTTACGATGATTGCTCACATTGATGCCGTGGAAGGGTTATATGCCAATCAGGGCTCCCTGTGCCGAAAGGTGGCCCTCCAACCCAATTCCGGCATGGGCCCTTTAAGTCGAACTAGAGTATATGTACCGATTATTGGACCACCTGCGGCGAGCAGGAATGTTGTTGCGTCAATGAGGGTACCTGGTCATTGGGTCTTAACGACGCACTCAGCTGCTGAGGTTATATGGCGTCGCTTGCCTATCACCCTAGCAGGATGGGCAGGCACTGCGGAAATCGAATTCCGTACCTCTGGTTTCCCAGACGTGCAGTGGTTACTGCAGGCGCGTTAACCACTGCACTATTGGCATCCTTAAGAGGCTTCCTGCATCGATCCAATGTCTACCGCAATCTGCACGGATCAAAATGCTTCCCACGTCAGGGAGGATCAATGTGATATGATGCATTCCTCTGGGGGCCTCCGGATCGACCAGGGGATCCCGCCTCGTGTCGTCAGAATGACAACCGGAAGACACTCCGTGGTGGGTGTCTTCCTAACGGCTCTTCAGCCCTTGGCAGGAAGCAACAATGTGTCCCCTAGTGTCCTACTCAAGGGGGCTCTTCCCTGGAAATAAATAAAGGATCTGAGTGAGTCGAAATTAATGCAGACACGCACGAGGCCATCCCATGTTTGCCCGATAACTTTTGTCACAGAATCGACTAGCCAAACAAGAAATCGAAGGGTCTAAGCCTGCGCGACTGCATCTCGGCAGCAACGACAGCGATGGCCTGAGTCGCAGTTTCTGTAAAACCGAACGACGTCGGCCACTGCAGGTAACGTGAGGCGGCAGGTGCGTGTGCGTGTCAACGACCGTCGTGGTATAATGCTTCCCAATATTTTAAAGTTTAATTCGTACCATTCAGAATTAGGCTGGGCATATCCTTTTCAACTTTGAGGTTGTGCTCTGGGGCGATCAACAGCTGCAGCAACACCAAAAATAGAGGTTCTTCTTTTGCTCTCCCAGTTCTACCACCATATTGCAGCATCGCTTCGCGGTGCTGTAAAGGCTAATTCGTCATTTCATCGATCTGAAATCACACAGGTGAAACGTACATCAACTACCTTTAAAAGAACGGTTTGATGTTCAAAGGTATATCTGCCAGATGCGCCATCATTTCCGTCCACCCGATGGCCTCATCTCAGTGTTAGCAGCTGGGCCGACCTGCGGGACCTGCCGAGGCTACAGCGCCTGGCACCTAGGTTTTTGTTGCAAAGCGACGACGCATGCTTAGAACTACGTTACATAATTCGTATCACTAAATCATTTCTGACCGAATGTTGAACGTCTCCAGGCAAACATGGCTTGGCCATGTCGATGCAAATCGCTAACCCATTCCGATCTGCATTTGCGGGGTTGTTGGAGTCTATGTAAAGCCCAGGTAAGAATCTGGTAAAGCTTCTGAGCTTTATCAGTTTGGAAAAAAATCCACTAGACCATCATAGAACGAAGAGCGCTGGTGATTTATTTCATGCAGTTGTTTAACGCACGATTTCTTCAGTTGATTGGCTACAAAATTCAGGCAGAATCGATCGCGCGGCAGCTTATGACTTCTGTTCCAGTTTTAGAAGATAAAAATGAAAAGAAATATAAAAGAAAACCATTGTCTCATTAACAAATGGGCCATATTTGGCAATTTGGCTTTTGGGGGGGGGGGGCGGGGGGCTTTTACTGACAAGAGCTCTTTGTCAGTCATGCGCCTCTCCCTTGCCAAGACTGGCTGCGTACCTGGTTGTACCAAACCACTTGCATTTTCCAGTCTTTGTTGTAGATGATGAAAAGGTGTAGCATTTCGTCAAGTACACCCCAGACGACTCTTGAAGATATCACCCATTTCCGTAGAACACCCTCTTAGAATGGCATCTGTTGGATGTCTAGAGAGCCTCGGACCTCATTCCCGATGTCCAGGGCGTGTGTCATCACCTTCTGATACTTTGAAGCGCAGGCTGCAAACCAACCAGACATTCGTGTCTATTAGAGCTCCAGTCATCAGCGAAGGAATGTCTCAGAAGAAAGAGGTGCCAAATCGAGTTTCGATGTGGATTTGTGTCATATCGCCAGGATAAATGTTCAGCATACACGGAAAATGGGGATGCGATGGTACCCACGGACACCCCGTTCCTACGGCCGCGGCTCCAACCATTGGTTCTGCCACGGGGAGGATGGAAGGATGCTTCGCCGACATAGGAGCAAAATTCATGACATTTTTGCGAAATTCAGCACACGCCATCTTACGGGCGCCCGGTGGAGGACGCCCGTGAAATGGCGACCTCAGCCTCAGCTTGGTGTAGTTTATTCCGAGATTTACCTCTGAAATGAGCTTTTATATGGAAAGTTGGAAAGCAAACAAATTCCTTGAGCCAGAGAACGTCGGAGTGTATCAATGCAATGCGGCGGCTGCAGTGGAACGACGCTGGTAAAATATAGGACTGACTGTGAGCGATCAGGCTGTACACGCTGGAGGCGACACAAAAATTCTGCTGAGTGACTCGTTTATTCGCCGAATGTAGCTCGTTCACACGACGTTATCAGTGTGGATTGAACGGTGCATTACTTACGCTATGCATGGTGTATCATCGCGTGACAGCTCTAATGTGCTCTACGATCGTAATAGCATAGGCAAATAACAAATATCATAAGAGATTGCGCTCCAATCGAACATGGCGTACGCGAAAACCAATAGACCTCACCGACTCCACCACGATCAACGAACGCAGTTTGTTTTGGAAGACTCGG